GAAAAAAATTACCTGGACAGTAATGGGTTAGGTTTGTGTAATTCTTCTGGCAGTTAGTATTGGAAATTAATTTGGAACTCCTGTGTCATTAGACCAATGAAACAAGGATGCATTTTTTTTTTTAGTTGCATTTACCACACATCCCCCACGTTATACAAATTGTCCTTTTACCAACATAGATAGCTGAAATAATCAAACTTTTAGTCAAATTTGAGGAATGAAAGTATATGACTGGATATGTGAACAGCTGGTACTTGAATGGTACATTATAAATGTTTAAATATAAGACAAACCAAGAAGATAAATGAAATTGCAGGTTCATTGCAATACATTTCACAGATCCCTTACATGTCTTTAAGCCAAGCATAATAATTAGCTCTTCCCTGTCTCTGGTCAAGATGGCATAATCAAGAAGATGTGATTAGGATACCCCTTGGGTGAGCTTGGCTCGACAATGAGGTGAGAAGAGAACAATGATGGAAGACAGAGAGATAATGTATACTCTGGAGCTAAACTGAGCTGAATCAAATGAAAACAAAGTCGACATAAAGAGGGGCATTCTTTGCTTTGTTACTATTCATGTCCAAACTCTTGGCTAATGGCATAAGACAACACCACCTTGACATTAGGAAGATGACAGCATTGACATTGATCAGGATGTTATTATGTCTTATTGTGACGGGAGAGGTTATGATTACGACATCTTTGCAGGCCAGATAAATGATGATAACACCAATGACAATGATATTGCCAAGTATGTAGAGTAGCCTTGATAGTGTTAGCTATATAGCAAGCATAGACCTGCAATGTAGTCCTGCAACCTTACCAACACATTGAATTCTACAATTCAATTCATAGCTTATGCTCTATATGCTGTATTAACCAATATGTAGTATAATATACCTATTCTTTGTACCATACTTTTGCAAAGACAAGGAGAAAACATAGTTTAGAGATCAAGAGGCATGCTGATTATATTGGTATCTGATATAATTGTATCACTATAGAGGAACTATAATTTATAAGCACATCACTTCTAAAAGTGTTGCACATAAGGCCTTGAGTGTTGCACATAAGGCCTTGTGAATTTCCCATCTGTAGTGAATACTTCATTCTTAAACTTCTCTTCACAATATTTGCATGAAACAAAAAACACATTTTAAGTGTGAAAATGACAAAGTAATGCACTTTGGTTCTACGGTATTAAAGTATAGAACAATCTGATGAGGTGTCCTATTAGAGATTCCAGTTGCACTTTTGATTTGTTTCTTTCAAATAATTTAATTCTTAAAAGTGTGATTGCCTTGTTCATGCCCAACCAAACTAATTACTCATTTCCATCAACTGGCCAAAAAGGCATCATAACTGTAGCTCTACGATCACAGCTGGAGATCTCTATTAGGACTTAATTGACAAAGCACCTCATCACATCATGAAACCAAAATTTGTATGCGTGTGCTTCTCTACCATTGACAGTATAATGAACCTATTTAACCCTGCAGATCTTTTCCCGACTGAAGGGCAGGGGCAGCAGACTGACTTTTTTTTTAAATGTCCTCATTGACTCATGGAGCAATGCATATCGTGATCATTTCAGGGTCAGCTTCTGACTATACAGCTTGTTGTATTTGAAACATGACTCACCATAAGAGACCAGTTGTTGACAGGCAAACCAACAGGGACATACCAGTGACCAGGGGAATGTTAAAACTTGATTACATGAGTCATCTAGTCCTGATTGAGCATATCCAAGGTTCCCAATACCTTCAAACCCATTCTCAGGTTTGGTGTGAAACCAGACAAACTATTTCATGACCGGCATTGTATATGTAGGTACCAATTTATTCTCATTTCACTACACAATTATCTAAATCTCACATTTAAGTATTGATAACATTTTTGTTTTGCAAAAAACTGTCAGCACCCTTATACACTTCAAATATATTTCAATATGCTACCAAACAGAAGGCTTTTGATAAGCCATTGGACAACCAATGATTTACTCATAAACTCTATCTTCTGAGAAAACCAAAAACTGCCTCAATATCGCCATATGGTTTGTAAAATGAACCACAAATTGTGCAGAGCAAAGGCAATGTTACCTCCCCCTGCTTGTTGTTAATAATGACAATAGCAGACTGAAATGCCCTTGGGCTAAACAAAGTTTTAACATCATTGTATGCAAAGGACAGAATTTGAGAGTAGTATCACTCAGATCCTTCCTCATCAGCAAACAGCTGGGGCGAACCAAAAGGGCACACAAATCACTCACTCTTTGGGCTGACGTCAAAGGAGGCAGCAACACAGTTTTAAGTGCTGGTATGTAAAGAGAGGCACACAATATGAGTTCTAAAGACTCCTTCAAAAGGGACCATGGGAACAAAAGACAACGCCCACTGAAGGACACAGGAATCTATCACAGGACATTTTTCTCCTGCTGCACATAGGCATGGGAAAGAAGCAAATAGCAAAATCTATCTGAATCTTAAATGTATGAACCTTGAAAGAATGTGCCAAACCCCTTAGAGTATAAACTGAAGTGAGAAAAAAACACAACCTAAGAAACTTAGTCCTCCTTATCACATCTTTGCAGTTTGTGAAGATAGACTGTTCCAATGAATCATGGATAGGCACGTATAGATTGTTCCTAGTTATAAATATGTAACTATATTACACAATGTTAATACTACCAATATGTCCACCTGCCCAATATATTATTTCTGACAAAATTTAGCCTCAGTTCTACAAGGGTATCATAAATGTCTCTTTCAGTATCAAAGACAAAAAAAGTCCTAGTCATGTGATGCCAATCTTAGACAATGTTGCTTCCAACAACAGCTGAGCAGAGTGATATCGCAAGAACTTAAGAACAACCCCAAGTACTTTTTTTTATATTGGGTGCCTCCAACAAGAGTTAATCAAATGGTTCCTTTTACTCCTTGACAGCATCTTCATTTGGGATAATCAATTATTGTACCTTCCCTAGAACAGCCTGGCAAGGCCTTGACTTTCCTGTCTGTCTAATCTAATGATTTGCCAGATCTTCTTTCGAGCTTGATCAAAAGTCCTTCACAGCTGTCTTCCTTAAGTACGTCCACAGTGACCATAGTGGCCGCAGTCCATCTGGACTTATTCAGCAGATTTAGGAGTCACCGGAGTCAACCAAGACCAACAGTTTTTCTAGGATTCATGTATTCCTTACCATTGATGCACTTTTATTTGGGGGGGTGTGGGGGTAGTTGCAAACATGATTGGCACCAGTCATCTTCTGACCACAATTCTTAACCATAACTTAAAGGCTGCCTCAGACTGCAGGTCCCTAACCTCCAACAGGGTGTAGCAAATGATGATGCATCGAACCCATGGCCTATGACAGAAAACTACCCTAATTCCTCTCAGGAATTCTGTGACATTGTAAAGAAATGTAACAGCATAGGACCACATGGGGAAAGCCTGTACAGGACATCACACAAAGACTCCAAGAAGCCTTTGTACCCTGTGCTAAACTGAACCGAACACTGGTGAAGTCATCCACCAGTTTCTGGTACATTATTAAAGAGTTTTATGAAAGAAAGTTTTCAGGTTGATTGTCAGGAAGTTGACTTAAAAAAATCTGAAACAAAATAAGGGGTTTTATAACATTCCAAACAAGATAAAGGAGCACACATCAAAAAATAACGAGGGCAGATGTTGAATCCTATGAACAATGATGATACTTCATCATTGACTTCAGTAAAAAAACAAATACACTAATTGGGACCTATTTTTTTTGAAGATTGTGTTTTCAGGCTTTCTTTTAGAGCAAAGTTAGTAAAAGTCACACAAACAAACAAAGTGTTTCAACAAAGTAATACAGGAACTCTAAGAGTTTGCTTACAGGGGGCAATGTGCTGACAGCAGTTGTCATTTATGTGATTAAAAGAAACAAATTTGGATCCAGGCATCTTCTTAGGAGTTCCTTAGTATGACCAATTGCTTTAAACCAAGACAAAGAACACAGAAGATAGAGACCTCTGTGGGAACAGCTAAATAGCTTTCCAAATGTTAACAATAACTTTCAATCAGTATGTGTTCATAGTATAAAGAAGATAATCAACCAACCAACTGAAAGCTTTATATATAATTGATTAGATTATAAGTTGTTCACCATTAACCATAGGTATAGAAAGTGAACATTTGTAAATATTTTAGCCTTTGATGAAGCACTTAGTGTGGGGCAGTATGAAGCCTGAATTGTGGTCAGCAATTTGCATCAGCATGATGAAAAATAGGAGGAAAAAAAAAAAATCCAAGCTGTAAGCAGCAACAGTAGTCGAAGCGAGCTGAGATTTGCAAACAGATCTGAATGCCAAGCATATCATTTCTGAAATTAAAATAGCAATCAACAATGGTTTAAAGTTTGATGTTGTGGCTGCGGTGTCATTTCTGCCACAAATGTCTGAACAAACAGTTCAGAAGAAGGATATGTTGAGAATTGTGCTGTGCTTTGATTTTGCCTGATTATACTGTCTAGAAGAAAAGCTGATTTTCAACTAGTGAAAACAAAATGCTGTTTGTACGTGTGTCTGAAAGCATGTATAAATGTTGATACTGTAAACATGCACTTTTTTCGGGGGCTCAATTTTCAATTTCAATTAAACATCTGCTAAGCAGTGTTTCATACATGCAGTGTGCCCTGAATTGTTGCATTTTACATCAAAATTGTATACTACTCATGCAACGAGCCCTTCAGAAGATGGAATATGTATATTAAGGCTTTAGATATGTAACACATACTGGATTTTCTCTCTTCCTTTTTAATGAGGAAGGTCTGTATCCCTCTGCAGCAGAAATACCTTTGTCTGTTGAAATCTCCTCCTAGGCACCGTTATGGTGACTTGACCTGCATTGCTCATATATTTGCACATAACTTGAATAAACCCTCTAGTTTCTGAACTGGAGAATAAGAATAGACAGATGTGAGTATATGTGTGTGCCCCCATGTATAATTCATGACTGACCTCCACCAGCTTGTTAGCATGTTCGCGGAACACCTGGGCATACTCCTTCACTTCCTTCTCGTTTCCACTCTTAGCCGCTTCGATGAGCACCAGCAGAGGGACGTTGGTCTCCAGGAAAGAGTCGGAGATGTGGTCCATCACTGCCTTTCTCAACTGGAATATAGATGGCAAGAAATATGGATGGAAGAAGAGGTCATATTGTTAATAATACTGCAGATGACTTCACTGTATTACATTTGGCAATGATTACATATCACTTAGAATTGTAATGAATCTGGTTTTGCAACATAATGGGGTTGGAGGGACGGAGAGAGGGGAAAAGAAAGAGGGAGATTGAAAAAGGGGAGGAGAACTCTCAACGGGCAGGAGTGTAAATTGCTTGTAAGGTGTCATTTTTTCCCATAAGGCTTTTTACTAGGGCAGACTTTGTGACTTATGTCTTTGTTTATGGAATCGTTTTGTACCAAACTGGCAGGGGACCGGTTGTTTTATAAGACAGTAAATGGACCCTGATGCTACTCACTGAGATATCTGATGAGATGCCAGAGGGAACGGTATAGAAAGCACAACATTTAAGTCCTTTATCTTACACAAACAGGGAGTTAGCCATATGAGACCAGTGCTAAGCCAGACAGGGATACACTTTAGGGAAAACGGCTCCATTTATGTGGCATCAACATTCATTTAAGCAATTTTTTTTGTTTTGAAAGCACCCCCCAAAAATGAAACACTTTGATCTTTTTCACAGTTTTGTAATGATTACCATTAAATGTAAAGATGACATTGTAAACATACATATTAGTATAAATCAAGATTGATGTGCCTTTTAATACATTATTGTTGTTATTGTATGGTTTTGCAATTGTAATGGTTACGAAACAATTCCAGCAGGAAAAAAAATAGCAGCGTTATCAGTGAATGTATTCTATTAAATCCCCTTTAGTAGAAAGTCTTTAACACACCAACATCATTAGCAATTTAAACACATTATCAGATCAATTAGCGTGAATGTAAACTAAAAGAAATCTTCATCACTAAACTATTAATAACAGCATACAAATGATGACATTAAGTCTTTAATCAACAACACGGACAACAGAGATTTGTTTGACTTCTCAGGCCACCTCCCATAATTAAAGGTAAGGCAAACACTGTGACCATACTCCTGAATTAGAAATGTTGAACAAGAGGGCAGAGAAGACTAATAGCTGTGACTGACAAGGGAAATTTCATTGAACCAACAAAAAAAGCATATGTTAGTCTGTCAGTGGCACTTAAATAACCTGCAGCAATTACAAACTTAATTGCCAGCCGACAGAGTGGAGGAGAACAATGGTGAATTATGCCCTCCTCAGGGCAGATAATCCATCACTTACGCTGCTGGAAAGAGACTAGATTTGGACAGTCTAGTGGCCATGACGGGTCTGCAAATGCTGTAAACAACCCCAAGCCCACACTCTCTTTAAGCACTCCTCTATCCAGGACTCTATAAGCCTTGATCATTGATATGAAGAGATGTGTACTGATACGCATTGCAACACCAATAATGTTGGGCTATTTCTGAATAGCTGATAAACCTCAGCATTTTTAAAGTGTGAGAAATGTATCCCCCCCCCCCAACCACCAACACCACCCCATACGCATCAGGGAACAGTGTTGAATCGGTGCAGTTGTGTAACCTTGCCATCCTGTTGCCTGGTGGTAAGGGTGAGGAATCAGAAAAGATAAAAATCTTGCATTGCCAGAACTATCTTCACACTATATTAGTGCTGCTGCAGCGCTGGGGGGAGCTGTGGCAGAACATACTGTCATTTTCCGGAGGCGTAAAAAGATTGGGGTTGTTTGCAGGCCATAACTGGTACTACAAGATGTTCTCATGACAACAAATAAAGAAATATAGTGATATGAGGAGATGATAGTAGGTTGCATTTTACATGTGAATTACTTGTCTATTCCACAATCAACATCAGTGTCATAAATGATTATATACTTATTTTTATTGTTTCCATTGATTCTAATCAAGTTTGGATTGAAGTGTGTTCATTTGGGACAGTGACAAAGTTTAGCACACTCAAAGATGCGAATGTGCTACTGAAGTACAAAAACAAAAAGTGGAAGAGCTGTGAGGAATTGTCATAACAATAAAATATTCATGTCAGATTTTAGATTAGCAACTCTGCTCTATTGATGTCTGTCACATTGAGATACATTTTTCCAGCGAAAGAGAAATGCAGAGTGCATTTGAATTTGTAACATAACCGCACTATATGAACTACAGTTGATATCCATCAAAAGATGGAATTGGGCACAGCATATGTTATTTAATCAAGTTTTTTTCAACCACTGAAATCCGTTAAATAGTCCGAATAGTTTTCAAAAGGCAAAAGCCTAATTAGCAGAATATGTACATACCAGAGCCAGAACGTGTCTCTTCAATGTATCCTGATTTTGTTAGAATGAATTCTTGTTTTGACTTCACGACTGAAGCACAGATTTGGTTTGAAACTTTTTACAAAATGCCTTTTCAACAATACTTTTTTGTAGTTCTCAGCATAAAACCAATTGATTTAATGGGACAAATCTAAGCCTGGAAACTATTTTTAAGCTGCTTTTTGGTAGAAAGTTTCTTTCAAGTTACGAGTTGTTGTTGTTGTTGCTTCTGAACTCAGCTGTTAATGGCAGGTATAGGCCACATATATATATATATATATATATATATATATATATGCTTAAGAAGCATGTCGAGGATTGCTAGGACCCACGATACTTGTGGATGCCCAGCAGTGAAAACTGATTCTGACGGTGGGTTTGAGTGAAGAAATGATACAGACGAGTGATTTCCCAAGTCACAGTCTCTCCTGCACCATCAGCATTCTAATGCCCACACACCACTCCCACAGAAATCCATCTTCAATCTTTCACATCTCCCCTCCCTCCATGCCCCACCCCCTCCATCTCCCCTCCAACACTCCCTTTGTATTTCACTAACACTTAAAGGAGATAGACCTGGAATTCCAATAGATAGCAAAGGCTCTACTCATTACAAGTAAGGGGGGGTGCAGCTGTCACAAGGGTTGAAGCTGTGAATGCTACAGGTTTTTGTTTTACATATTGATATTTTGAGATTATGTTAGGAATGCTATGGCTGCTGCAGTTGTGTCCTGAGTCTAATCTGTGAGATCAATTTGGCATGCGAACATTTTATTTTTCCAGAGTGCTATTAGCATGCTGGCTGGCAGCACGTGGGTTGAGGAGATAAGGTGTGAAAAACAGCAGAGAGCCAAAGCTTCTGTGATGATAGATGACAAGACAGGCAGGCAGGTAGATGGAGAGATATAAAGAAATTATTTAGAAGAAAATGAATTAATCTATATGGCCAAAGTATGTGGACGTATTTAGCCTATTTTCATTGTTTTGGCTTGTGTACTCAATTTAATATAAAGCAATACTTGAGACAATATAAGGCTTCCATTCTGGGAATTTATACTCTGGTTTAAACGTGCCAAAATTCACAAGATATTCATTTTGCCAGTGAGAAACTGGTGGATTTCTTCTTTTTTTTTCTCAAGGGCAAAACTGAACTTTCATACACAGGTTCCATGAATAAATGATTTTCCACAGTTTGGACGTTTTGCCTTGGCATAACCCTGACTTAAATCGCATCCAACACCTAGGATAAATTGGAAGGTCAACCAAGAGCCAGGCCATATTTTTTAACATGAGTGCTCAACCGCACTCATGCCCCTGTATCTGAATGGGAGAAATCCCTGCAGTCAGGTTTTAAAATCTTGTGGAAAGCTTCCACAGAAGATTGGAGGCAGAATAGTGATCATTTTGGATCGGAAATGAAATATTTCAATGAGTAACGTTTAAATGTCGCCAAACATTGATTGAGCATATGCACACTGTTGGTAGTCTTCCTGTATTTGATGAATAAACCAATAAAATACAGATTAGACTTCTGGCTTCCTTTACAATCATTTGAAAAATGAAATTAGTACAGAAATTTGGGGAGGATTTGGCAACATTGGTGCATTAAATGGTTTTGCTATTCCCAAATTGTAATTTCTTGGCAGTAGGTTAACATGCACAGTTAAGTCCAGCTAAAGTTAATGCTCAATTAAGCCATTAAATTGGCCTACTGTCCTTGTCTTAGTATAGAACGCACCTAGGTGAGAAAAGATATATTGATGGAAGTACACTGCTACTGCAGGTTTTGATCTGCTCAGCTCCTTTTAGACCTTTTACGTCAGATACCAAACAATCGACAAACAATTTAGCAAGTGGAAAAAACATGAACAACTTAAAAGCTACATGTTCTAGCTGAAGCATTTTGCCCTGTTGATACCTTTGTCTTGTTTTTTTCACAGCTATCTTCAAAGAATTTATGCTGCTCGACTTCTGGGTCAAAGCTGTGGAGGTTGCACAGAATGACTATGCCAAGTAGGGGCTTATTGAGGTGTTTACATGCAGAGTAATTTGACCCCAAATGTATTATCTAGGTGTGTCTATTCCTAACTTAATTTGCTTTAGAACGATATCAGTTGGACTAACATGTTTATATGTATCTAAAGTCCAGTTTTAGTTGGACTTACATAAAAAAACCTACTTTTTTTTTTAAACATCATGTAGATGTACTGAGTGTTACTACACCTCCTCCTCCCATCCCCCCATCTTGCATATTGTATTATGTGCATCTATTTACTCTTGAAATCAAAAGAGGAGGAGCTGCAAAAATTAACAACACTGAATCCCTCCTGATACTAACTGCACAAAGCGATGTGAAATAACAAAAATGATGCATGTGCTTAACAGAACTTGACAGACAAATAAATGTGTTGTTCACTGAATGGTGGGAGGGCTGTGTGATCTTCAAAGATAAGATTAGCATTGATTTACATCATTTGCTTTTTTTAAATGGGAAAACTGTTGGCATTTTGCAGGATTAGACACCTGCTTTATCCTCAAAAACAGATGCATGAGATTAACCGTCTCAAACATCTGCGGTATTGAGTGTATGACTCAAAAAAAAGGAATACATTCAAAGGATTGGAAAATAAAGAGTGAATGTTTAGACATACCTAATCAGAGGAAAAGATTCCATCAGCTTACTTGACTTTTTTGCTGTTCAAAATAGTCCTAAGGCATGAAAA